CTATTTCCCAGAGAGAGAAAGTGAGACAGAAAAAGAGCGAGAAAGTGTGTGTGTTTGTGTGTGTGTGTGTGTGTGGAGAGAGAGAGAGAGAGAGAGATATGCCTTTTATTTATTTTTATGGTCTTGCTTGATTTCAGCAATCTTCATCGTCATGATAATTGTCTTTACCATCATCATTGTTACACATTTTTATGCTAACACCGGATATCTGGAATTGAGTGACAGCAGAGTTATTGATATCTCAAGCACCTTCTGCAATATCCCTGCAAATTCCAGTCTCGTTGTTTTCTGAACAGGTTCAGTAATTTCTGATATATCCATAGTCTACGCTATTTCAAACTTGCAATGTTCCAAAGAATACCATGATGGTAAAAGCGGAATTCAGCTTGCCGACACCATTTTGATTGTTGAAAATCAACGAGACAATAAAGGAACATGGACTCCGAACATTTTATCTCCAATTTCAAGCACAATACTCAACACATTCCAAATCTGGGAATTAAAAAAATAATTAAAAAACAGACCTTGTTGTTTTTTGTAATAAAACTTTTTGGGATTAATAATTACTGCCTATATATATATATATATATATATATATATATATATATATATATATATATATATACCATACCTGAAATACCATACAACGGGTTGACCCAAGCCTTGTGAGTGAAATTTGGTAGACGGAAACTTTGGATGCTAGCACGGAGTCACAAGTCATCATGGCCGAGGGCTTGAGCGTGCTGGCTTTGATCAAATTGTTTCCAGAAACTGTGGGTGATGCTTCTGAGCAAGCGTCTGCAATAGGGACTGGCTAGCGCCTTAGTAGAAGGGTATCCTCGAATACGAGTGGCCAGCTACACTATATATATATACATACATACATATATATATATATATATATATATATATATATATATATATAGATATATAAAAGTGAATATTGAAGTCAACATTCAGAGGCGACTGGCTGTTTCATTGCGTCTAGCATGAAACAGCCAGTCGCCTCTGAATGTTGACTTCAATGTCCACTTTTATATTTACATACGCCTATCTCTGATATTGGGCACTTCATCCCATAAATATAGCACACCTTAAAACTATATTTCTTATATATATATATATATATAATATCCCTCATATGTCCTCTCATACCCAAAATATTTATGATGAAACTACAATAAAGTTACTGAGTCTTTTATTATTTATCCCTTATTTAATCACACACACACACACACACATATATATATATATTCGTGTGTCTGTATGTGTTTGTGTGTGTATAGGGAAAGCGTACTCAGTATCAAATATAGACCATGTATAGATATCTATACTGCATAGTATGACGTCCCAGTGGGATCTTCAGACCAAGTGCTACGATTCCCCTAGCGACCTATCCACATAGGTCACTTGTGGATTAATGGAAGTGAGTGAAGGAGGAAAAGGGTACTATCCAGAAAATAAATATCTACTACGCTGTCTACGAGCAAACCTCAACTAAAAATCTTAAATAAAACCACATAATCAAAATCTAATAAAACATTAAAGATACCAAAACTCAAAATCAAAGAAAAATACACGAACGGGAAAAATTACGAAACAATAAATGAATGATTAGCTCGCCGGATTAAAGAATTTGCCGAAAAAAATTTTCACATGAAAATTGCGGAATTTTACACAAAATCTATCGAATTGCTGCCTGATATGTAGTAACAAGACATTGGAAATAATCGTGAATAAATAATTGGACTAGCAGCATGGCCCGGCGTTGCCAGTGCTTGATTCAAAAATCGTACGACTCATACAGCAATCGCTATCACTTGACTTAAAATCAGAATGGACGTTGAGTTTAAGCAAGCGAATGAGCCAATTGGAGTAAAGTGCCATGCAGATTTAAATTTTTCCCACTTGTGACGAATGCAGCTATCGATTTTTTTGCATGCTAGTATGCTAGTTAACATTTGTGTCAGTCAGCTGTTGGCTCTCACGCTGGCCAATAGAATCTTCCTGCCTATTCGTGGCAGCCAGCTATAGGCTCTCACTTTGGCCAGTAGAAAATGGCCGCAAACTACATGAAAACTGCCGTAGAAGCATGAAAAAATAGATTATTTCCACTATCGATGGCAGTTGGGAAATGCAACGTCATTCTTGGCCTTCCCGCTAACTTTGGTGCAAATTCGTTGAAAATTGCGGCCTTGCATTTGTTACACACACACACACACACACACACACACACACACACACACACACACACACACGTGCTGCTTTTTATAGATAAAGTAAAATTGTACTTTATGTTTTTAGTGGAATAAAATTTATAAGCAAAACGGAAATTAATTATGACTCTACTAAACACACACACACACGCACGCACACACACACACACACCCACACACACATATATATATTCATCACATCGACCACTGTGGGGATCATAGAACCCTTGGGAACTCAACGATAGCTAGTTTTGTACTACATGCGATTTTGAATTCAAACAGGTTACCAACCACGTCTGGAGTGTACCCAGATATTTAGCCCATAGCTGGGTAGAAGAGATGGGATTTATACCTTTCTCTTGAATATTTGCATGAAAGTGAATGCAGCGAACTCCACCAGAATTCGAACTCCGCTCGCCTATTTCTCGTTTCGATCCGCTAACCATTGCATTACCTGCACCTCCTGTTAACATTGTAATCATTCTTTTTTTTTTTTCAAATTTTAGCAACTTTTGACAAAAGAGGCCATTTTTACGATATAAGGTTGCTGTTATTGGTCTCTGGGAATTGGAATAAAAAGAAATCGAAAAGCATAGTAAATAAATTATAATGGTTATTCGTGATTTGTCAGTAATTTGTCAGTAACCGCAACTCTGAATCCTTTGCTAAACCAGACCCAACCATCACGATGTCACATGTGCACGAAAACACACAGAAAAATCTTTTCTTTTTATCTTCTTTTGTGAAGACGTTAAATCTGACAATCGCACGTGTACTTCGTGTGAGTGCAGTATTATGCAGATCTTGAACATCGCACGTGGTTGATGAGTTTGCCGTAGGAGAAAGAGCAGAAAAAAAAGGAGGAAGAAAGAAAAAAATAAAAGCGGATGAAGAAATTTCAGAGAGTCAATTAATTCCAAATGAATCCACTTTTTTTTTAATTCACTGTGTGTCGAGAGAAAACAAAAAGAAAGGGAGAAAACTCTGTTAAGAAATACTAATCATAACTTTCGCTTGTCATTTAAAATTCAGATTTCTTTTCGTGTTGACAAAACAGAAAGTCGCTGCAGTGTGAATGATGACGTTCTGACTTCGGCCACATCATATGGTACTTGAAATCAGATAAAGATTAATTTTAAACGTTGAATGTCATAGGCGGCTTGAAGAATACCGAGTGTAACAGCAAAATTGTCAAAATCGTGTAACAGCAAAATTGTCCAAATAATGCTACCGCATGATTTTCCATCCCACAAAATGTTTAATATCTAAAAAAAAAACCACTAAAATAATTGAGTTTCTGATTTGCAGGTTTTCAGATAAGACGTTTAGCCATCTTGACATCATTTATTGTAAGAATCACTGAAAAACCCTTTGCACTATTCAGCTAAAAAGAGAACAGGTTAAAATCGTTTTGTGTCAGTCCAACTGTCTTCCCAACTGAGCAATGGTGAGAAGGAAAAGATCATTCAGGTCTTCGGTAATTGTACCAACTTTCATACTCTCTTCGATCTTCAAAGACCATTCAAGAACAATCAAGAGAACGGTGAACCCCACCACCACCCCAAAAAAACAGGGAACAGTAGAGAGGAAAACTGAATCAGCAGGTCACAACAAGAAGGGGGATCATCATTTCAACTTAGAGCTAAATAGGTCAATTAGAAAAGATCCAACTCAACCCATAAGATGTTTGGAACGTGAGAGAGTAGTTTCAGCTATGACAGTCTAAAGTGCAGCGGAAAAAGACTTGAAAATGAAATCGTACGTGAGACCTGTGAGGCACCTTGTTACTGCAGTACAGAAAGTTAGAAGTTCATCTTGAATAAGTTTGAAAATGATACTGGAATATATATATATATATATATATATTTATATATACATTTTATTTACTTCATAGGCTTCCGATCAGTAGCTATTATTAATTAATGATAAACATGCCATTTTCTTTTATGATCGATTTCATCACGATACTTCTGTTAAGCTTAGAGAATAATTATACATTCTTATTGCTCAAAGTAGAGTACAATAGAGTTATAAAAACCTAAAGGAATTCCAGTAAGATGTCTTTAATCATTTCTAACTAAAAGTTAAGATTTCAGAAGGATAATGCCGACATGTCTGATTTGAACCCGTACTGACACTTGGTTTATATCCTGCAAATATTAGAGAAATATATATTTAATTCACTAGAACCAGGAAGTATCACTGAAAAGCTAACGGTTTATAACTTTATCATAGTAATGACTAATAAGAATACGAGACTAAATATTTCATATGTAAAATTGTTGTTTATTTACTTATGGATTCTGTCAAATTAACGTCGGGCGTGAGGGTGTGTTGTTTCGGAGACTTTCCTCCTGTAAGGACGTGAGGGACTCTTTCTCTGGCTTTTATATAACTTAATGTCGTTCCGGATGCTTTGTGCTTGCATATTCTAATTTCAGCTTGATGTAGACACTGACATCCCTTGTGGTCAGATACTACGTTTGTTGGCAACGACGGCACTTTCTAGATCAAGTCTCTGATGCTCTTAACTCTTTTAATGTTCTGTTGTGACACCGATGACAATGCTAAATTTGATATCTCTTAGGGTGAGCTAGTAAATATTTATGTCACCCCAGATCAATTCCTATTAGAACAAATGATTTTGATTGAACCAATTCTCTGATGCTTGATTATCTTCAAGAATTTCACTTCCTCGCAAATATTTGACATTATTGCATTTACTCAGGTGGCTGCTTGGAACAACTTTTGCGCTAAGGAAAATGTTGTGTCTCTAAACTGCGG